TATTTGGAAAGTTGAAGTTTTGTGGCAGATGCACACAAAAGGGGGCACTGACTTTTGAGAAGACACCCTGGAAAGAAGGACTTGTTGAGCACAGTGAAATAGAAGCGTGACACAGAAAATGCCAACTCGACAGGAACTGCCTGAGAAGGTCTGGAGGTGCCTGGCTTTAGGGTGTTGCAATGGGGTTGTTGGAAAGGGGAAATAGCTGTGATTTGGGCTTTGTGGGGGGAAGAACTGAGCTGAAGAAGTATGGGGCTTTGATGGTGTTGGAGAGATGTCGCAAGAAGCCTTTTTGGGACTGGAGCTGCTCTGGGCGGGGTTGGCACTGTCCTTTTCTTTCAGGATTTGTAGCTGCACCTGACTGAAAAGTGGACTCCAGTTCCCTGGAAGGTGGGTGGCCCCCTCCAGCAGCCAGGCTGCGGTTGTGCCAGGCAAGGGCTTTGCTGAAGGCAGCTATGATCAGGGTGACTCCTCCTGGGTCACCTGCCTGGGGATTTGATTTTCCACGACTCTTTCTTTTCCTAGCTGTTGATAGGTGAGGCTTGAAGTCTTTCCTGCAAGGAGAAGTGAAAGCTGTAGATACATCTGGGCTTGATTTAACCTGAAGCTAGTGGGCTTTTAGTTGCATTTTCTTCAGTCTGGTGGTGACATGGGTGACTCAAGGGCATGGAGAGCTCCTCAGCAGGTGCTGGGGCCTGTCAGTGCAGGCCATGGTTAGAACAAGAGAGTGTTGCTGCTTTTTGACATCACACACATTCTACCTGTGCTAGAGACTTCCAGGAGAGTGAAGCCACAAGTGCTGGGGTGTTGAACATGTGTGGTGGGAGCTCTGGGGCACCATCATGTGCTTCAGCCTTGCTTGGAAAGTGATTCAGACCAGTGCTGCAAGCATGGAGCGAGTTCAGTGGAGGCTGTGAAGATGCTGACAGGACTGGAGCATCTCATGAGGACAGGCTGAGGGAGCTGAGGCTGTTGAGCCAAACAGCTGAAAAGAGATGTCTGAGAGGGGCCCTCATCCCTGTCTGTCAGTGTCTGCAGGGAGGGGTCAGAGGATGCACCAGCCTCTGCTCCCTGGGGCCCAGCAGTGGAACAAGAGGAATGGGCAGAAACTGATGCCCAAGAAGTTCCACCTGAACATGAGGAAGAACTTCTTCCCTGTGCCATGACTGTGCACTGAAGAGGCTGCCCAGAGAGGATGTGGAGTCCCCCTCACTGAGATATTCCAGAACTGTCTGGGAATAATGTTGTGCATGTGCTCTGAGATGATCCTGGTTGAGCAGGGAGGTTGGATCAGATGACCCACTGTGGTCCTTCCAACCTGACCCATCCTGTGAAACCACACCAGCCTCGTATTTGGCACCAGGTAGGATGGTGGATGGTGTGGCAGGCAGCCAGCTCTCCAACAGTGCTGCTGAGGAAGCCTGGCCTGGGAGCTCAGCACCTGCTCCCAGCCATCCTCAGAGAGACACTGACCCCTTCAGCAGCCAGCTGACCCATCCTGAGAATGTGCTCTGCTGCCTGAGCCCCTGAGCCTGGGAGGGAGGATGCAGCTCCAGGTCTGCAAAGTCCCCAGGGTTTGCTGGGCAGGTAGAGGACACAGGTGCTGAGGAAGTAGCAGGGAGATGTTGTTCTGATGCGTTTGTGCCGGTCTGTCTTGACACCCCAGGAGCTCTGGGTGTGCCCCCTGGGTGGGATCTGGCAGGGCCAGCGTGGCTGGGAGGTGGCTGTGGGTTCTCATGCTGCCTCGTGGTCATTCTGCCTCCAGATGCAGCACCTGGGCCCTCCACAGGTGTATCTTTGCACCTTAGCTTCATGGTGCAGAAGGAAGTAGGTTTTCTTGGGGGTTTCTTCATATTCTTGGAAGAGGAGGAGAATCTGGCTGGGGCATGGTCTTGTCTTGCTGCTGCAAGCTCTGTCAGCATGAGCCAAGAAAAATGGACAGTGTGGCTTTCCTGAGATAGGATCACAGAGTGATTTGGGTTTGAAGGGACTTTGAAAGATCACCTTGTCCAACACCCCTGCCATTGGCAGGCACATACAGGGAGGACACCTTCCTCTAGACTGGTTTGCTCCAAGCCCATCCAGCCTGACCTTGAACATTTCCAGGGATGGGGCAGCCACAGCTTCTCTGGGTAACCTGTGCCAGAGCCTCACCTCTCACATGATGAAACATTTCTGAGTAAGGGGATGGCTGAAGTGGCAGGAGATGTGGTGTCCATGTGCATGTGTCAGGATGGGGCTCAGCATCAGCTGGGGGTCCACTCGCCCTGGCAAAAGCTCTGTCCACCTCTCCCAGTGACCCAGCTGGAAAGTGTTGGGGCTGGGCAGAAAGGTCTCTTGCCTTCCAGGCAAGGGCACCAAGGCAGAGTGGTTTGGGCAGAGCAGTGGGTGACCCTGGCAAAACCAGCAATGAACTACAATCTGTAAAGACCTCATCTGCCATTTGTGGCCACAAAATCCATCTTGCCTGTAGCGATTTTTGTGCTCCCCAGTGGAATCCCATCCTTAAACAATTGGTGTAGCTTGGCATCGTCTTCAGGGTCAGCATGGATGCTATGTCCATTGCATAATCAAAATTTGGGAGAAGAATGTGTCCAGTGAAGCTTTTGCTTGTCTCCATCTGGGTGCTTACTGCTTTCCTGGCAGTGGAGCTGTGGATGGCTGGACCCTGCAGGGAGTTGAAGGCACCAGTGACAGAGATAATTGTAGAGGGAAGAGGAAACTGTGTTTCCACCACTGAGAGCTGCTTTCAGAGAGCAGCTGATGCAGGAGGAGCTGATGGAGGAGGAGCACGTGCAAGATGCTTCTGTGGGTGCTGGGGCAGCAGGGAGCACGTGTGAGCCATCCTGGACCACAGTGTGCTGCATTGCCAGCTCAGCCTGTTTTGGACAGCTCCAGTGGTTTTGTTTTGGCCCTTTGGCCATGGGCAGCCTGGAGGCAGATGCTGCAGTGGGAGAGGGGTTTGGGGCAGGGAGCAAGGCTGTGGTCACTCACACAGACATGCTCTGTCCCACCCATGGAGGAAGGAAGAGGTAACTCCTGGCTCCTGCATTTGCACCCCTTCCTGGAAGAACTGTCATATGGGAACCTTATCTTACGTGGCTTTTTCTTACACAGCCAGCAGATCCCATGATGTGATCTGGGATCCCTGAGGAAAATCCCTGCAGCTTCCAAGAGCTCTTCAGCAAGTGGTCTCCGTGCCCACTGATCAAAGCCTGAGAATTTATTCATTTCATATTGTGTGTTGAGCCTCGATCCATAGGAGACATCCCCTGTGGATCCATGCCTGCTTCCCCTCCTCTCCCCATGCCCTTCCTCACAGCTCTTTCTGGGTGCAGCATGGCCTGAACACCCTTTGGCTGCCAGGTTTTGCTGTTGAATGCAAAAGGGATATGAAAAAGGGAAGCAGTGTGTATTGCAGAGCGTTTGGAAGAGAGCAGGAGAACCCTGGGGACGTGCTGATGTGGTGCATCTGGAGGAGCCACAGGCTCAACCAGGCACAAAAATCTGCTTATGAGAAAATAGCATAAACTTACTTCCTGTTTTGAGGTTTGTGTTAACTGAGAGAAAAGCCCTCAAGAAACAGAGGGTTTTAAGGTAGCAAAGACCTGCTAGGATGAATTTGGCCGTGGTTGATGGTTCCTGCAGGTTTATGACAGTGATGACTGAAATCCCCAAGGCTGCACTATCCTGGTTGTCAAACATTCTGCTCCTCAGCAGTCCACAGCATGGTTCCCAGGATGCTTTTACTGGTCATAAGCCTGGTTTGAGTCCCAGGGAAGCTGCTGGAGGCAGTGGGTGAAGGGCAGTGCCAGCTCCTGTCTCCTCTCCCAGAGATGCCACATCACTGCTGGCACTGCCCACAGCGTGTGCTGCTCCACCTGGGCCCATCCTGCAGCCTTGGGATTTGAGCAGCAGACTGGAATGTGGGGTGGGCTTTGCCAGAGCCTCTGGTGTGGCACTGGCCACGTGGGCTCGTGAGCCAGCATCACAGAGGGATGGTTCCTGCTCACTGCTCCCACAAGCCTGACCTGTTCCACAGCAGTGCTGGGATGCTGCAGCCCCACAGGGATCTCATGCATCTGATGCATAAACTCAACAGACACTGGAGCTGCACTGGGAGCAGTTCCTGGGGGTGGGAGGGGGGCCCTTTGTGACCCCCAAGTGACCCAGCACAGGCAGGATGCAGAACTGGGGGGCCAGTGCAGGCAGACAGCACTCACTTGAAAGCAGAAGTCAGTCTGGTTTGAGCTGGGCCATAAATGATCCAAAGCACGAAACATGTTGATAGCCACAGGACTTGCAGCTGGAAAGGAGCTGGAGCAGGGGGTGGCTCACCAGAACCCCGAGGGTCCTTGCAGGACTCCTCAGCAGAGGTCACAGCAGAGGATGAGGGTCTCAGCCTCCTCCCACAAAAGCCTTGAAAGAGCTGGGATGGGCGAGCCCACCAGGACAAATGTGTCCAGGGCTGAGGTTGGCAGCTTGCTGCAGGGTTGGGGACTGCACTGGGGCACCCAGGGCACCTGTGTCCATTGCAGCAGCCACAGCATCATGGCTTAGGAATGGTATTCCCCAATTTGGTGCTCCCACTGGTGTTAGGTGTTCCCTGCCTCCTGCTTCCCCTTCCCATTCCAATTGGAAGCACAAAAGGTGAAGATCGTGGGTTGAGATAAGAGCAATTTACTGGAAATAACGAGATAAGAATACAGTAAGAGCCACACTACTAATAACAAAAGTGTACAAAGAGAGGGTTATTTACATGCAAAATGCTCACCAAGCCCTGGACAATGAAATCACAGCTTCCCTCCGCCCACCAGGCTTTCTCCCAGCTGGAAAAGAACAGCATTCCTGTAATTGTGGTGGCACCGTGTCTGCTGGGCTCTGTGCTCCTGGCCTGGACCTGCAGGAGGTGCCCAGGGCAGGGCTGGGAGAGCTTTTGGGGTTATCCCAGGCTGTCAGCCTTGCTGCCCTGCCAGGGCAGGCTGGCCCCCATTCCTCTACCTCCTAACGCTGTTTCACCTTGTTCCTTGCAGTCAGGACAGTTCAATGAGGACATGATCCCCACAGTGGGTTTCAACATGAGGAAGATCACCAAAGGGAATGTTACCATAAAGGTAAGATGCAGTCGTTACTGCTGGTGAGGGCTCTTGGGATGAAAGGTGCAGGTGAGGGGGGTTGGTGGCTCTTCTGCTGGAGGTGGAAGAATTCCAGGGATCCCAGCTGCAGCTCACAGAATAGAATAGCAGTGTTAAGGATGGAAAATCCCTGTAAGATCGAGTCTGTTCTCCCAGAAGTGCCACGTTCACCACTAAACCATGTCTCCAAGTGCCACATCCACGTGTTTTGTTAACATTTCCAGGGATTGTGATTCCACCTTCTGGAAGTGAAAGATTTGCCCTGTTAGGGTCCTGCAGGAGGTGGTGGGAAGGGCTGTAGGAGATCCAGACTTGTGCAATAAGAGTCAGCCTGGGCTGCAAAGCTGGAGGTTTCCTTGTATCTGTTGCTGGTAGGGACTCAATGGATGTGGTCACCTTGCTCAGGGTGGTATGCTGGGGAAAACAGGTCATTGCTTGCAGTGGTGGTCTCTACCTCAGGAGCAAAGGAAGAGTTGGGTTCTACCTGTTCTGGATTTTTTGAGGGCCTGGGGTTGTTCTGGGAAATAGCTGTTGACAGGCTTGGAAAGCTGGCTGGGGGATCTCTGGCTGCCTCAGGAACACTTTTGAGACTGTGCCAAATGTTCTTAAAAGGGAAATGCCAGGAGGTGTGATGGGTGTGGGGAGGAGCACCTGGCTTGGGCCAGGGGTCCCTCCATGCCAGCAGAGGCACACTGCAGGGGGACTCAGCATCCTCCAGCTCCCCTTCCTCAAGTTCCTCCCTACTTTATCAAGTCAGGAGCCTCCTGAGGTTTGAGCTGAAGGGGAGAGGACAGGGGTGGGTTTGGAGCACAGCCAAAATGCCCCAGGTGGGCAGACAGGGGAGAGTGTTGGGCAGCAGTGTGGGGTGATGGGCACAGTGCCAGGGTAACTCTGCCTTCTCCTGTGACAGCTCTGGGACATCGGGGGGCAGCCGCGGTTCCGCAGCATGTGGGAGCGATACTGCCGCGGAGTGAGTGCCATCGTGTGAGTATCCCAGAGCCCTGCTGTCACCCCTGCTGCTGCTGCTGCTGCTGCTGAGCCTTGCCACGGGCTGCTGGGCTGCCAGGGGAGCTGTGGTGCCTTTGCTGCCCGAGCTGGACACCTCTGTCAGGGGTTGGAATCACTGAATCATCATGAAGGTTGGAAAAGACCTCTAAGATCATTGAGTCCAACCATTAACACCAATTCATCACTAGACTATGTCCCCAGATGGTTTTTGAATACCTCCAAGGATGGTGATTCTTCCACTGTCTCATGGTAGGGCCTGACCACCCTTTTAGGGAAGAGATTTTCCCTAATATCCAACCTAAACCTCCCCATGTCCAGCCTGAGGCCGTTTCTTCTGGCCCTGTTGCTTGTTTTCTGTGAGGACAGCCTGATCCCAACCTGGTTCCACCCTCCTGTCAGGAATTGGAGAGACTGAGAAGGTCCCCCCTGAGTCTCCTTTTATCCAGATACTTCCCCTGGGGACTGATGTCCACATGAGCTTGAGCAGGGGACAGCCAGGTCTCTCCAGCTGTGCCAGCCCCTTCTCTTCCCTTCCAGCATCACTCAGTCCAGCTCTGTTCCTCAGATCTTACCCTTCCAGGCTCTCATGCATCCTCTGTGCTGGCTGCTCACCACAGGAGCTGAGCAAACCCAGGTGTGGGGCTCAGCCCTTCCCAGAGGCTGCTTTCCAGGCCAAGATGCTTATGTGCTGCCAGATAAATCTTGTGCTGAGAGCAGGAGTCTCACCTGCTACTGAGTCAGCAAATCTGAGTGTCCCTGGGTGTCCCCTGCTTGCAAACAGTGCAGTAAAAGCAACCCCAGGGACCCCAGGCTTGGGGTAAGCATGGCAAGGCACTCGTGGGAAGCAGGTTGCCTATTCCAAAGGACAAATGCTGATGTCAGAACACCATACTGGGGTTACTTAAACCCAGTCAGAAAATGAGATTTTTGGGATCTTTCCCAAGTGACCATACCCTGAGATTTGGAGGGCTGCTTTCTGTGCTGTCCTTCCCAACTCTTGGCAGCTGAGGAGGAGTGTGGTACTGCTTGTTCTGCATGTTGGGACAGTGGTGTTTGCTCCTGCCCTTGCAGGCTGTCATCATGGTGGGACATGGCCTTGGACCTGCAGGAGGGTTTTTATTACAATTTTAAGTACAATGAGCTTTGCTGGAAATAACAAAATCTCTGTCTTTTCACTCTTTTTGCTGCCTCCTTCCATAATGTCATAATTTTGGCCCATGTGGTTGTCAGGAAACAAAAGATCCTGTCAGCATCCAGGTCTCACTCCAGTCTGCCCTTATCATCTCAAGCTATGTCAGGTCTCTTTCTCTTTACTGTCAGCTCTCCCCCTGTGCCCAACATTCCAAGGGCTGGAGCAGTCCCTGGGGTTGTTTTTCCCTTCAGCACAGCGTTCCCATTTTCCTGTGTTAAGCACTTTAGTAGTTAGTAGCTCTTTTCCTATTTTTAAATAACTCCCCAAAGCCTGATGAGCTGTTTCTCACTCCTTCTCTCCCAGCTTCTTGATCTTTGAAATCTGCTTTGATCAGTTCCTCACCCAAGTTTTGGCTTCACTGACATCCTTTGCAGGATAAAAGTTGGCCTGTAAGAAAAAAATCCTTTCCCAGTTCTCCCCTTCTGCTCAGAGAAGCATTGGTGGCCACCAGCTTCACATCCAGGTGCTCCATGGCCCCTCCCAGGATTACCCCATGGATGGGATGAGGAGGTCCTTTCCCTTCTTGGGTCATCATCACCTCTCCATCCTCAGCTTCTCTTGCCTTCTCTGCTTGTCCTGTGTGTTTACATGGCAGCTGCTCTCCACGTGTTGTTGGAGACAACGTCTATCCTGCAGCTTCTCCTGCCTGGGCTTTCCTGGGGTGGGGATAGGGTGGTTCCCCACTCCCCTGGGAGACATGAGGGGCTCTCAGCTCCACAGCTGTCCTTGGGAAGAGGCATCCTGCTGGAAGGATCCTGTTATCAACCTCCTGCTGGCCCAGTTTGCAGTGGGGGCAGCGAGCTGCCATGGGAGGAGGTTTGGGGGTGGCACAGACCTCAGCACAGCACAAGGGCCTGGAGACCTGGGCACCTGTGCTCAGGCTTGTCCCTTCCCTTGCAGGTACATGGTGGATGCTGCTGACCAGGAGAAGATAGAGGCCTCCAAGAATGAACTGCACAACCTGCTTGACAAGCCGCAGCTCCAGGGCATCCCGGTGAGCTGGTGCCTCAGTGGTGCCCAGGGTGGGGGCTGCCAGGGCTTGCACAGCAGATTCAGGGTGGGGCTCCCCTTTCTTGGAGGTGTCCCCTGCTGCACTCCAGGGACAGCTGACAGGAGGGAGCCAGCTGGGACAGTGACACTTCCTAGGTCAGAACTGGGCTGAGCAACAGGGAGGGACAGGCAGAGAGCACAGATCAGGCCCCCCGGGTGAAATCTGTCCTCTCACATGGATTTGCACCTGATTTGTGGTGTGACAGGAAGGTCCTGTCTCCTGTGAGAGGAGCTGCTGGGCTGTGACATGTGTAGGAGGTGGGACCTGCAGTGCTGGGCATGTTGGGTGGGCTGAGCACCAACCATCCCAAATCAGCATCCTTCGAGAGGAGCTGATTGGAGATCTTGCCATGGATCCCAAATGTCCGCTGCCAGCTAAATTAAGCTCCTGAGATAGCACTCTGCAGTTGCAGGCCTCTGAAGGCTCTCTTCTGAGAACAAACCTCCTGATTGAAACGAGGGGATGCTCATCCTGTGCTGCTGCAGAGCCCCGGCGCAGTCCGGGAGCCACAGCTTCAGCAGCACCCCTGTCAGGTGACAGTCACATGGCTGCTCCGGGACAAACCAGCCCTGCTGGCTGGTGATTCTCCTTACACAATCTGAGAATGCTTTTGTGGCTGTCAAGAGCCTTGAGGGAGAGATCAGGGATGGCACAAACAGCTGATCCTGGTTTGGGCTGGCTGCCTGCAGAGTGGGTTCTGCCTGGCATCCACAGCTTGCTCCTGCTGGATAACGTCAGCATTAGCCATTTCACTTGACTTTTTGCTCAGAGACAGTGAGAGGCTCCTGGGAGAATGTCCTAGAAGGCACAGGGGATGCTGGTGCCCTTCAGAGAGGATGTGCTGTGGGGCCATCTCTGCGCTGGGAGTAGGGAGTGCACAGGAGATGCGGTGTACAGGCTAATTAAGGCAGCTAGTGGAAGTTCTCTGCCTCCTGAGTGCTGCTGGAGGGGGTTTCTCTGTCTGGGACATCCTAGTGGAGTAGCCAGGGCTGTCTGGTGTCACAGGCAGTGAGTGGCACAAGCAGGTTCCTGCCTGGTCTGGGTGCTTCAGGTGTCCCCTGTGCTGCCCTGCAGGTCCTCGTCCTGGGGAACAAGCGGGACCTGCCCGGTGCCTTGGATGAGAAGGAGCTCATTGAGAAGATGTAAGTGCCAGTGCCCTGGGCACAGGGGGTGTGACACAGTGTGACCCCCTCCCCCTTCTGCCGTGTCCCCACCAGCACGATTGCCCTTCTGGAGCGGCACTGGGGTGCCTGGGGTGGGCTGCCAGAGATGAATGGCTGAGGATGTCTGAGGTGATGCCTTGTGGAGACAGAGAGGAGCTGGAGCCAGCAGTGCCAGGGCTGGATCATGTGCCACATGGTGGCGTGGGGGCCTGGCACAGCGTGGCACTGGCTGGTGGAGCAGGGGAATTCTGGGATGCTGCACTTAGAGCATTTCCTCCCCTTCAGCCAGCTCTCAGAGCACCTCTGGACCACGGGCACCCATGCAGCTCCCATGCTGCCAGCTCTGTGCTGCTCCCAAAACCTCCCTGCCCCGTCTAGCTGCAGGGCTGGGGGGGGGACCTATGGAATTTGGTGGCCAGGGTCTCTGTGGGATCAGGTCCCTCCTGCCCTGTCACATAGCTCCCCCCACACCACCTCTGCCCCTTAGGCATGGAGCAATGGTGCCCTCTCCTGACCCACATGCAGCTCCTGGAGAGCTGGGGAGCTGCTGCCCCTTCCATGTGCCAGAGTCCAAAAGTCCCAGGGGTGTCTCCCACGGCCACCCCACACGGCTCAGAGTCTGCAGCGCTTGCTCCCTTCCCACAGGAACCTCTCTGCCATCCAGGACCGAGAGATCTGTTGCTATTCCATCTCCTGCAAAGAAAAGGACAACATTGGTGAGTGCTGTGAGCTGGGCTCACGGTGGGGGTGGGGAGCAGCCCTGTGTTTGCCCAGGGGAGGTGACAGCCAGAGACAGAGGCTCTAAGTGTCCCCTTGCCTCTGCAGACATCACCCTACAGTGGCTTATCCAGCACTCGAAGTCCAGGCGAAGCTGAGGTCCCACGGGCCTGGCTCGGATTGGGAAGATGCCATTGTACAAGCCCGTGCCCCTCTCTCCTGCTCTGTCCCTCCAGCTCTCTCTCTAGATGGGTATTTTTAGGGGACCCCAGACTCTGCTCACATTGGGGCAGAGTCCTTGTTTTTATTGTAAAGGAGATGTCTGACTGCCCTCCTCTTCCCCTCTCCTCTCCTCCCCCCTCTCTTCCTCCATTTTGGCACTGTTCTGTTGTTGTCTGTGTATACAGTATATATATATGTATATATATTTTAATTTTTTAATTTAAGGGATAGTGCTGTTATTAAATTGGGCCCTGTGAGCGGTAGGAAAGCTGGGGCTCCCCAAGGCCAGCCAGTGGGTCAGCACTGGGAGGAGGAGGAGGGTGGTAGCAGAAGGCAGCCCTTGGGGATGGGGCTGTGCCAGCTGCAGGGCACAGGGCAGGTCCCCTGGGGCTCTGTGTTCCCTTCCCTGGGTGTCCTGCTGCTGCCTCCAGGCAGAGACTACCCTGGGGGTGTTAGGGGTGTCCACCTTGCCCTGCCTGCCTTGAGCGTGGCAGGGGGAGGGCATGTCAATGCCAGGGAAGGCTCCTCACCCCTCCAGGGGACAGGGATTAACCACAAGCCACTGCCACCATCCTCCTCCTACTGCCTCCTCTTCCCCAACCGCTCTTTGGGGCCCAGGGCCACTTGTCCCCCGGCCCCATGTGTCCCCTGCTCTTGTGCCTGGGCCGAATCCTGCCCACTGCCCAGTCTGGCTGCTCAGGGGATGATCTGGGGCACTGGTACCAGTGCTGGGGGCCCAGCAATGCCAGCAGCCCCTGGGGGAGCTGGGGGCTGGCACCTGCCTCCCACCTGCCCAGGGCTGGCTCAGCCCCATGGAACCTCTCAGGACAGCTGTGCTGGCTCCCCACGTGCCAAGTGGCATCGCCTGTGCCCAGCTGGGGCTGCTGGCTCTGCCCTGGCCAGGGACATCCCTTGGGATGCCAGAGAGGGAGGGACACATGAAGGCACCTGGAGACACGCTCAGAGCACCTGTGCACCCTCAGTGCTGCTCACCAGAGCCAAGGGCCATGTGCTGTGCCTGCTCCCCATTCCCTGCTCCCCATGCTTGCACTGCAGTCCTGCTCCCCGTGCTCTGCTCCCTGGGCCTGTTCCCATGCCCTGCTCCCCATTCCCTGCTCCCCATGCCACCCCCTGCCCTGCTGCCCTGGCTGGGAGGCACGGGTGCCTTGGGTCAGGGGGCAGCAGGGCTTGTGGGGACGACAGTCAGGTGTGTGTCTGCACAGGATGGAGAACTGTGGTGGTCCATGGCTGTGCCATGGCTGTGCCGTTGGCTGGGGCTCTGAGGTGCAGCCTGGGGGCCTGGCCAGGTTGTTAGGGGCCAGTTTTGGGGGACTGGGCTGGCACTGGAGGGGGGGTGTGCAGGGGGAGGCAGCTGCTGGTCCCAGCACAGGGCTGGGGCATAGGGTGGGGATGGCCAGGGGGCTGCAGGGCCTCTCTCAGCCTCTTCCCACTCGGCTCCAGGGTGTCAGGCCAGGGACTTACCTTCTGTTCTTGTTTTTGCAGAATTGCACAAAGAGAGGTTTCTTTTAGTTGTTTTTTTTTTTTTTTAATTTAATGACTTGTAAAGTGTTGTCGCCCCCCCCACCCCCCCTCTTTTTT